TTTTCCTCACAGGGAGATCTATACTTCCAAAGGGATTTGGTTATTATTCAGGATTTCAGCCCTGAATCTTCCTTAGACATTGATGAAAGCCATGTACCTTCTAGCCAGAAAAATGAGTGGATGCAAGCCTGCGCGCCTGTACATGTATTCACACACACACACACACACACACACACACACACGCACGCACGCATGCACTCCAAGGGTTCATGGACCTCTGGCCAAGAACTCCTGAATTCTAAAAGGAGAAATACATTTTGGCAGAGAAGCTTCCAGGTGGAATTGAGGGATAGATTCTACCCGAAGGACTGGCTCTACTCTAACTGGCTGTCTGATGTGAAGGGCTTGTTCCTCTGTGTCTACACAGGTGCTCGACGGGCCTCAGTACCATTAAGCCTGTGATGGGCTTGGGGAGTGGAAGCCAGGAGGCAGAGAAGCTGTGGACACTTCTGTCCAATGCTCAGCCACAGCATGTTGTGGAATTTGAGGGGAGGGAGGGAAAGGCCTGAAAGAGTTCATGTGCTGTGGCTAGGAACTGGCTAGGCATATTGACCATGCATAGGTCATTTACACTTCACAGCAAGCCTGTAAATTAGGCACTAGGTTCTGCTTTCACTGAGGATTATGAGATTTAGGGAGTTAATTGTTCAAAGTCATCCAGCTAGTAAGTGGCACAGCAGGAAGTGAAGCCCAGGTCTCTCAGGCACCAAAGCCCAGTTGCAAGTCAGACTTACACTTCACAGCAAGCCTGTAAATTAGGCACTAGGTTCTGCTTTCACTGAGGATTATGAGATTTAGGGAGTTAATTGTTCAAAGTCATCCAGCTAGTAAGTGGCACAGCAGGAAGTGAAGCCCAGGTCTCTCAGGCACCAAAGCCCAGTTGCAGTAGTCAGACTTAATAACTGAAGAAACTCTCTCCAGCCTGTTCCCATGGTTTCCATGCCAGCCTCGGGGCCGGGAAGGCTGGGTGTTGTTACAGACATTTCAGGCCTTACTCGCCATGGTCTCAGATATGCCTACCAGGTCCCCACTCTCCCCACAGTGTACACCAGACTTGTGCCAACTTTTCACTCTAATGTGGTCGGCACCATATTGAACTTAATTCCTTCAAGGCCCAGCTAACTAACATCCTGATTTCCCTGTGCTGTCTTCCCTGACCAGACCCGTTCCTACACCAGACCGTGATGCCTGGCCCTCTCTGCCACCGAGCTCTAAGGCGGGCTCATTTCCCTCTTTCCTCTAGATAATCCCTCCTGGCTCCATCTTACCCAGGAGCCTTTCCACAGCAGGGCTGGTGTTCAAAACACACTGAGCCCCCAGTTGCCTAGCCCGGTTCTCCCCACAAACCAGGCATGTCAAGGGTTATTCCTCTTGATGATGATGACGATGCCAGTGTTAACTGTATAGACAGGAAAGCCTAGCCCAGTAGTTTGGAATGTTTCCAAGGCCACAATTCGACTCCTTGCCTTGTCTGGCAGGCAGGCTTTCTCCTCCCCACCAGGCTTCTGCCTGCTCTAGTCCTCAGTCCAGCTCAAGGGGTGCGATGGCCATCATCCATATCACCAACCATGGCTGCAGTGTGCAAAAGGGGCGGGAGAACAAAAAACCATGAGACAACACTGTGGCTTTTGAACAGGTACATAGGCTGTCTTATTTAATAGCAGTTAAAAGAGGAAAACGTACAGGAGGAATAAACATGCTCTTTCCACATAAGAGGTTTTCTACTAACCATGAGGCCCATCTCTAGCAGTAGCTTTACTGGTTTGAAAGAAAAAAGTTCCCTTTAGAGTTAAAAATGGACTTTCTGAAATATCCCCCATAAATGTGCAAAATAATAAGGCCATTTCCAACACATTAGTGAAAAGTAACTGCAAACTCAGGCAAAAGAAAGAAAAAAAAAAGAGGCAATGGAAGCAGCCAGGTGCAGAGTCTTGGGAGAAGCGAGGCTACGGTGAGGGGGATTTCTGCAGCAGGCCCCAGGGAGTGTGCTCGGAGGCCTCATGGGGAGAGTCATGGGCAATGCCAATCTTGGGGATAAAGGGCCCTGGGCCTGGGATTTGCTGAGCAAGCACTCATCAAGTGTGCAGGCTGACTTGGAGGCCTGGGAGACAATGAAAATACTGGGGACTTCTCCCTGTAAGCCTGTATATTCCCTTTACCAGTGGGGACTCTCTGTTGTTTCCAATTTCCAGGTCCTGTTCTTCCCCATCCCTAAGAGCTTCATTTATAGTCTACTCAAAGAGATTTTGCTATGAGATACGTTAAAACTATACCAGCTGCCTAAAGTACTACTGAAACCCACTAGGGTCCCAAACCTGACTGTCCCTTCAGGAATATGGACCTGGTTTTCCCAAGAACTCAGCCAACTAGAAGACGGAAAGACCTCCGGGCACCCATGTTCTCGCCTCTTACTGAGGCCTCCAGGGCATTTCTTCAACCTCTGGGCATTTGAGCCCAGATGTCAGGAGTCTGAGGGGCATGGACACCCATGCTTTGCACAAGTCCTCGCAAGGGCTGGCGCAGCTAGAGGCCTATCGACAAAACTGAAAGCTCCTACTTCACCGATTCAAACAGCTTGGACGTGGCTGGTCCCTGTTTTTTTACCTTTCCCTGATCACCAAGAGTGTGTCCCCACAGACAACTCAGTAGCTGCATGTTGGTTTCGTTAGGGAAGGTTGAGGCAGACCGAGAGGGAAGAAGGGATCTAGCAAAGGATCCACCCTATGAGTCTTGGGCTTGAATAAGTGTTCTCTGTAGAGGGACCTCTGTGTGCAAGGGGCAGAGTAACCTCCGTTCCTCCACCCTGTTCACTTTCTCTTCTAGAGCACTGTTTCTCCAGGGTACAGGGTTTTTTTTTTCCCCGGACGCGCAGGCTCAGCGGCCATGGCTCACGGGCCCAGCCGCTCTGCGGCACGTGGGATCTTCCCGGACCGGGGCATGAACCTGCATCCCCTGCATCGGCAGGCGGACTCTCAACCACTGCGCCACCAGGGAAGCCCCAGGGTACAGGTTTGAGACCAGGCCAGCAATGATAACAGTTGAAAAATATTGTGATATGCTTAAGGTTCTCTCCATTCCACTTCAAAGTCTCAGCACGCAAAGCGGAAGAGATCTTGCTGTAAACTGGCATCTAGTGAAGGAGGGTGCTTGGGGCCCTTCTGAAGCAATGGGATTAGTGTGGTCATTTCTCATTCTTTTCTAATAAAGTCCAGAGCCTGAGAGATGGTATTTTGGGTCTCATTCCCAGGGACCCCTGCCTTTCCTTGGCTATGGAAGTTCTGGGTGGCAGCACTCATCTCTGAGCCTCATTCTAAGACCTGGGCAAACTGCCTAGCCCCTAGGATGAGCCTCAGAAGGCTTCTGCAGAGCCCACACGCAGCCTGGTCTCCAGCTTTGAGGAAGCCTGCGTGTCGGTGTGCATATTTTCTTCCCCATAGTTTTTAAATTGTGATACAATATTTGGTGGGGGTGTGTGAAAAAGGAAGCACTGCCTTCCCTAGAAGCCACTCAGCAGCTGACAAAGGGAGTGAAGAATTCTGTCTGATGAGTCTTTCCTTCCACTAACCCAGGCTGGAAATGACTGTGTGGTTTAGTTGTCGTTGTTTGGTGATGCACAATTATACTCTTGCCAGTAGCCTTAGTGGCATCTTCCTGAAGTGTCTTAAAGGGCAGATTCCTCTGCCTGACCTCATAGTGAAGCCCTTGCATTAAGTCTCGGGAGCCCATTTGGGACAGAGGACACAGCTTCCAAGCTAGCTGGTCCAGGCTCCTTTGTAAACTCCAGAGCTTGAGGGATAGGATTACAGGCAATCCTCCTCAGATGAAGCCAAAAGATAGCTACGGGGGTCTCAGAAGGGGATGGAAGCTTTGGGCTTGGGCAAGAGCAGCTTATCCAGGATGTGACTTAGTGAGGGACAGCTGTGCCATGGGTAACAAGCCACTAGCCATGGCTGACCCGCTCTACTTCTCGGTGACAGTGGTTCCATCCCTAAAGGCATCCAGTCCAGCTATAGCTGTCCCCACAGTACAGAGTTGATGACATTTCCTTTAAAGATGGTGGCCAGAGAGTTGGCTTTAAAACACAAAGGAATGATTCCAAGGTTTTACCTAAGGGTAAAGTAAGGGCCATTTTCAGGCTTCTGGAATCTGACCATCCCAATGACACTGCTGGAAGAGGCCAAGTCTGAGACTCTCTGTCTATGGAATAACTGTTGACCTATGCCCTGAACCAAGTACCCTGACCCTGAAAGAAGGCAGTGAGAGGAATGGGGAAGGGCTGGGGCTCTGATTCCATTTGCACTGCCTTTCAAGATCTCCTCCTGGTGTGGGGCAGCCAATTCTTCCCGCTGCATACTCAGCTCTACCGTGCCCCAGAAAACTTAGAAGTAAAATCATTGGGTCAGATCTAGGCTAAAAAATGCCATCCTTGGGGGGACTGGAGTGAAGCCGTCATCTTGCCACAGAGCACGCTTGTTCACCGGTCAGTGAAAGTCAGTGGACTGAAGAGATGAACCTCCAGAACTGTATGCTGGTCTTTGATAGACTAAGGAGTAATGTTTTCCAGGCCCTTTCCTTGCATCAAGAATCGGCCTCACCTACACGGTGAATGGGGCACCTAGGAGTGAACAGGATGTACTTTATTATCCTTCTGCCTACTCGCCTTACCTCTCAGTGCCAAGTACCCATTTTGTTTGTGTAGTTTCTGAGCCCCAGATCTAAGCTCTAGAGCCATGGATGAAAGGTAGTTTATCATACTGGACCGATGACATCGCCATCTCTAGGAAAATACAGACAGTGTAGTGTGACTTCCCCTGAAGCCCAGCCTAGCAACAGCTCGTGGACTTGCTTACCCTTGTGCCTCTTTCACTATAGGGAAAGGTTATGCGAATACTGTACATAGGTTATTAAAAAAATACATTTGCTCTCTTTGAAGAAGAATGCACAAATGCAGGGCCAGCCAGCGCTGGGGCCCGGACTCTGGGGCTGCAGCCAGCAGCCTCTGTGGGCCCGAGGCCCGTCTTCATGAGTGGTGGCTGCTGATGAGTCCCCGGAGCTGCTTGGCCACAGTGTCAATCAATTTCTGCTTGTCTCGCTCATTTTTCCGAAATTGTGCAAACATGTTGTTCTTGCGGCTAGTGTCCTTCATCCTAAACAGAGAAGGGAAGAAAGAGAGCAAAGTGTTTGAGGCGGCAATGGTGACTAGTGTGTCTTAACCACCACCCGGAGTTGAGAGAGTCCAGAACACTTCCACTGTCAGGCGCATACTCACCTACTACTATTCACGACGCTGCCCTCCTGGTACCCAAAGGTCTCCCCACTTCAGTCACCTTTGGAGAACAGTCAAGAGCCAGCCATGGCCAATCGCCTCCTCATCCACACCCATCCTACCTACTTCCTTCCCTTCTACTCCCAGGTATGCCTCTGTTGTAGGTATCTGGCACCTGCTGCAGCCCTGACGGTCAACAGGACCTTAGAGAATGTCTAAGGTCTTCTCATCACCTCATAAACCTACTAAATCCTGCTGGGACCTTACAGCTAGTATTTGAAAGGTAAAGCAGAACGATGCTCTTAACTAGCAATTCCAAAAGAACATGAGTAACTGAAAGCCACTGTGCATTTCCAAACCCTACTCTACCTGGTTAGTCTATCCTAACAAAACCAAGGGCTTGACTGATCTCTTTTCCTTTGCCTCGGGGTAGGGGCCCAGGGGCAGTGAGGTGGTAAGAGGGCATGGTGCTGAGGAAAGCAGGCGCCAAAAGACTGAGCCAACTGGGCCTTTAGGCAAGAGAAGCCCCTAAGTTCTCAACGGCTGCTATGTCTTCAGATATTGACCTTTGGAAAACTTTCTAACGGGCTCATGCTGAAACTCCAGGGACGGAATATTCCTAGAGCACAAACCATGGGCAGTTCTGGCCACCAGTTCCACCAGATGGAGAGACCTAACTGGGAAGCATGGATGGAGAAAGTCAAGGCCAGGCTGAGGTCACCAGAGCAGCCCCCAAGCCCGACTAAGCCATTGTGACAGATCCCAGGAATCTGTTATTCCCCAAAAAGGGCCCACAGCCCCTGACATCTGTTGGTGATTGTTAACTCTGGCCCCAGCCTCTGCACACTGGACCTCCAGCCCACGGATAGTTCTAGTGGTAGAGAATTAAGGACACTGCCCCGACTCATTTCTCCTTGGGGTCAGGCTAGGTGGTTCCTCACCACCGTCCCCCAGGAACTTGGCCAGCTCTCTGACTTCACAGTCCCCTGGCCTGCATGGAGATGGGCTAGGAGAGGGGATGGAAGGAACCTGGCGCTGGGGAGTAAACTGCTCTCGGGCAGACTTCCCAGGGCCTTTGGCCAATCCTGGCCCATGTTTTTTTCCTGTGGGGTGGCCATGTGCAGAGGGACAGACTAGAGGTCAGTGGGTCAAAAGGCCAGAGAGCCCATAAGGACATTTATATCCATATGGTAGGGAGGTTCTAATGAGCGCCATTGCTTTATGGCTCTGGCTGACAGTGACAGCCACAAACGAATTGAGACTTCTCTCTCTGACCTAAGCTTTAGGGCTGTCAGCCTGGAATTACTCACCAAGCATATGCTTAGACACTGTGTATAAGGTACAACCACCCACATGTGGAGGCCTGTGCTTGGACGGGAGGAAGAAGGAGAGGTGACAGAGGTTTAGAGATTTAGGTTGTAAAGAAAGCACAAAGGTCCCCAAGGCTATGATGATTATTGTATTTGGTCCCTTAAACACTAACTGCACAATTATGTTTGTGGAACTGGCTTGATTTAGGATTATTTATCCCAGAGAACAGCTCCTTTACCTTTCCTGGATATAGTATAAATCTAAATAAAACCAAGACGAAGCAAAACAGAAAGAAATAATAAGGGAATAAAAACACTTCCTACCTTAATAGGACATTTAATTTAACATCCTATGTGATCATTAGTTTCATGACTCCTCAAAGCAGCCCAGAGATAGGCAGCTAGAGCTGGCTTTCAGCTCCCATAGGGAAGTTCCAGAAATAAGGTAGGAGAAAGGGAAAAAGAGGGTGGTCTCTAGGCCCCAGAGGCCAGGATGTTTTAGCCATTAAGACCTGGAGTTGGGATTACTTGAAAGAGAAATTCAAGTGCCCTGAGGGCTGATGGTGGCACGCTGGTTTGTACCCTGGAATGCTCTAAAACCAAAGGAGAGCCCTCCCCACGCCCCACTGCATTCCGTAAGCCTAGGATCTGGATCTACTTTGGCTATGGCCACCTCTCAGTGAACAGGGGCCTCTTCTCTTTCCTGAGATGTCCTCATCAGGTCTTTGGGTCTTTCCATGTCTCACCCTGCTAAGAAGTGTCAGGTTGAAAAGGAGAGAGTGTCAAGGGGAAAGCAGGAA